GGCAAGAAAAACAAAGGCCATCGGAGCATGAAATGTGTGATTCCGTTGTTAAGGAACACGTACGTGTACAGGGCGGGTGATCCGCACCGTCTTTTTTAAATGCTTACAATACCGGATTTACGCGTGCGGGCGGGCTTGCCGACCGTCGCTCGCCAGGGCGCCTGCTTACGGTGCCGTGCGAGTATGCAACCCGTCCGCACGTAAGAATCCGGTACACTATAAGCATTTTAAAAAGACGGCGCGAATCACCCACCCTGTATGAGCAGCAATAGTTGCAGTACTCCACCCCTCAACCGCTGTGGCAGTAACAGGTGTGCTAACCCGACTGAATTATTCCCGCCTGAGTGTGTGTGTGTGTGTGTGCGTGTGTGTGCGTGCGTGTGTGTGTGTGTGTGTATGTGTGTGTGAGAGAGCGCTGCGCTGCGCATGTACGCGTGTCGGTGTGTGCGTGTCCGGGCAGACAGCGCGATGGACTATCAGCCGGGCAGTTTGCAGTGAGTTATGGTCCCAATATGTGTGCGTCTTGACGCCGGCGAGCAGACGACGTGAGGCGAGCCGGAATGGCCCGGGGCCGGCGCTGTGCAGTGCCGTGCTCGTGAAGGCCATCTGACTCTGGTTTGGGCAGCCGGAGAAAAGAGGGAAAGGAAACCTTTTGCGGCTGCGGGGCGGGCGGGGCGGGGGGCGGCCAGACACTCGCCTCGCCTCGGCTAGAGCTCCAGCCCCGGGCCCAGCGGGGCGCGATCGAGTACGTGGCGCCCCCGGGAGGTAGGCAGCCACACGAAAGGGAATAGCGGAGGGAGGCGCCCGGGCCACGGTCTGAAACATGCATGCGGCCAGCAGCGGCGGCCCCGAGATCCTTACAGCCAGAGGGAAATGCTTCCGATACTTGGCGCGCGCTTTTTCAAACTTTTGGCTTCTGCTGACGAAAGAGAAATTATTGGCGTTATTTACGTTTTGAAGATGTACGAATATCCTATGAACGTCTATATTCAAAATATATATAAATTTAATAGGTGGGACGAATGTCAGGTGGGAAGAGTGCCATACACCCATTTTATAGACGTTCATTAAGTTTCGTTCAAAAAATATTTTTTCCGATTTGCACAGGAAGGATACCTTTCGTAAATTCCGAAAACATGTTGTTTCTTCAAACGTACTGATCAGTGCCATTTGTTGGCAATGAGTACTTCGTTTTGTGGCAATAAAGCGCTAAATGAACGGCGCAAGGGAAATGTGACAAAAGTTATACCTTTCCAGCGGCAATGAGTCAGTCATTGCCATTCCAAAGACAGTATCAATTGCCAATTTTGGCAATGGCACGAAAAAAAATACCCAAGTTTCCCTTATACTTATTGGCAATTCGAACCCTGCCGCACAGTCGGCAATGAAAGTTCATCACCACATTTTGGCAATGAAGCCTTCATCGCCAAATTTTTGGCGATAAACCTTCAATGCCAATATTTAGGCGATGACCCTTCACTGCCGACTGCTCCTAACTAAGAAGAACTTCGAAAAATTATTTCTGGTCATTGTCAAAATTGGAAATAAATACTGCCTTTGGAATGGCATTGACCGACTCACTGCCGTTGAAAAGGTATTACTTATCTTATTGCTTTTGGCTTGGCATTGCCACAAAAGGTGGCACTTTCATCCCTCGTGGTATGATTATGACGCTACTTAGGATGTTTTCATTACATTTTACGCTTCAATATCAGTTAAATCCGGTTAAATCCATATCTAATAAAGATGTGCAGAAGAACACATCTAACCAGCGTACACAAATTGTCCCTTCTTATTTGGAGTGCTCCTCCCCTGTCATTTGGTGCGAAATTCTCGTGGTCTTTATTTTCCCATGTATTCCGGTCCTTTTCTCTGCGCGGAGTAACGCCGCTGCGGAGAGTAGTGAAGCAAAAGTAGTGGAGAGGAGGGGCTCGGAGAGATGGGCACTAAGCAAGAGAGAGAGAGAGAGAGAGAGAGAGAGAGAGTGAGAGAGAGAGAGCCGGAGGGGGATGAGGGAACACAGATTTGACGCGGCGCCGCGACAAAGTTGTAAAACCAGAAACGACTGACGAACTTCATCATTTTTGCGACGTGCGAGGGAGATACATCACATCGGGGGCGCG